GCTCCTCCCAACCTCTTTTCCTCCTCTGTCTCCGGAAAAAATCAGGGCTGTGGGGCCTGGGTTTCCTCCCCAGACCCACAGGAGGGAGGGAGCTCTACCTGCTCCCCCACTTGGCAGCTCTGGGAACCCAGGCCAGGGGCTTGCACATCGCTTCCTGTCCCCTCCACGCCCCCTGCTCCGCGCAGGTGCCTGGACCAGGGCTCCGAGGAGTCCGTCTGTGAAGTGCGGAGCATCTCTTCCCTCTGCCTGGGCTCAGGCATCCTGAATACGCCTTCAGTGTGTCCCAGGGCATGGGTGGGGTGGGGTGGGGTGGGGTGGGGTGGGAATCCTATCCTTCCATTTTCCCTGTTGCCCTTCAGCAGAATCCAGCTCTGGGCACCCTGCCCAGAGTGGAGGGGAAGGGGAAAACGCATGACCTTCACTTCATCTTAAGCAACTTCAGCAAAACCACCAGCAGCGGCAAGGGCAGGCGAGCTGAGGATGTGTCAGCTGCGCTCCAGGGAGGAGGAACCCTCCCCTGGAGACGGACCAGCCTTGGGCCAGTTTAGGCTCCACCACTGTTGTGCGTGGGTGTGGCTGTGGCTATTACGACCCCTCTGAGCCCCAGCTTTCTCTTCTATCGAGTGGGCTACTCACACCTGCTCTGTCCCTCTCCTGGGCGTGCAGAGGACTAAAAAGTAATGACAAGGAATGTGAGGTCGCTGAGTGGCACCAGGATCTCAGGCCAGGGACACTGTTCAGGCTCTTGCTCTTCCGGTGCCTGAGGAAGTCTTCCCAAAGTCTGGCCTAATTCGCAGGCCTGGGCACACTAGGTCCTGGCCCAGGAGGGATCCCTGACCTGGTACCAACCTGTTTGCTGTACTGAAGGATGCCCCGCTCTGGCTCTGAGATGTCCCCCGCTACCAGGTCCTCAGGGATCTGAAGCTCTTTTTAAGGGAACAGCTCAGCTCCAACAGTGCCTATAGGGCCACCAACACCGTTGGTCAGCTACTGCCACCAAAGCATGGCCAGCCAACCCAGAGACCCCAGGACAGCTGGCCACTCGGCAGGTAAAAGGGTGAGCAACTGGGAAGAAGGGGGCTCCCAGTCACCAATCACATGCCAGACACCTTTCTGCTTCCTCCCACTCATCCTCCGAATGGCCCATTGCAGTGGGGGTTATTCTGCCATGTTGTGAATGGAAGACTCACAGAGGTGAAGCGAGCAGTTAATGAAGCAGGTGGAAACTCAGCTCCCAAGTGCCCCCAGGCAGTGCGTCTGGTGTGCCGGCCTCCACGCTCCCAAGCCCTCCATCAAGCATGGCTGGCCTCCACATCAGAAACCTAACAGACAGCCGTATCCTTGGCCAACTGGCCAGAGGTCCACCTTGCTCATCGGTGTCTCCACAGATCTCAGGACGCCTTGCTCTTCTTCCAGGACCCCGTGGCCTGGGGCCAGTGTCCCGCTGGCTGGGCACAATTCTGAGAAGACTCAGCCAGAGGGAGGAGAAGGCTCCTGTCTCCGGGGTCACCTTCCTTGGCGAGGTCACTCAGTCATGGGGAGGGCAGGCTTGGCTTCTGGCTGGAAGCTGGCCTGACCTCTCTGCCTCTGATCCTCTGAGGCTGCCAGAGGCCCCGACCTGGCATCACCAAGGGTCTGCAGGTGGCACAGGGCTGTGCCGTACCTCAGCCACCCCAGCTCAGCTCTTCAGAGCCTGCCTCCCGGGTGCTCGTGCGAAACAGCAGAGTGGAAAGTGAGAAAAGCAGAAGGAGGGGGCCCAGGACACTTGGATCCTGGTTTTCTAATTGGGCCCAGGCTTCAGGTTCTTTCTGGAGCATTACTAATCACGAGGAGGTGACAGTGGGATACCCCCTCCCCCTGCCTCTGCGGGTTCCAGTACCAGCCCCAGGCACGCTGGGAAGGACCGTGGCAGCTTGGGTACCTACCCTGCCCTAGAAACACAGGACAGAAAGTTCTGGCCACTGGTGCTCTTCTAAAGGGCCACGCTTGGTTGGTCCAGAGCAATCCAGACAGATCTAGAACAAGGACACATCATAGCTCATGAGCTGCCCGTGTCATGTTCTCAACTCCCCCATTACCCTGTTTTGCACAAGTTGCACCAGCCACCTCGTGGGCAAGAACGAGGGGCCCGCTGTACACCACCCATGCTGACCTGTGAGTGAGCTGCAAAAACCACTGCTCTCCCGGAGAGGGAAGAGGAGGGAATGCCGGGCCCCACGTCAGGCAAAACAGTGCACTAAAAGCTGCTGGTCTCACCTGAAGCTGAGTGCTTCCCTAAGCGCTTCCATTACAGCCTTCCCAGGGTGAGACTGCCCATGGCCCGAATGCTCTGCAGCCGCCCTGCACCCTGGACACTCTGTGCAAAGAGCTCCCAGCACTTCACGCCCATTATCTCTACAGTTCTTTCACCAGCTCCTTCCCAGGAAGAACCAGAGTGGAGAGTCCACGGGATTCGAGAGTCAGTGGGGAGGATCCAGGCCTGCAGGCAGGTCTGCTGTGCTTACGGTGTGGAAATCATGTTAAATGTCACAGGTGGTTGAGGAGGGGGAAGGGAAGTCCTCAAGGGCCAAAACACAACATGAACTGGGCTGGGGAAGGATGGCCTGCCTGCCAAACCTAGAAGGGTGCTCTAGACTGGCCATGGCGGGGAGAGGGCAGCCTCCGCAGAGGGATTGGCCACATTTCCCCCATCGAGGCCGGAAACAGATGGCTTCAATCTAGACCAGAGTCTCCAGGAATAACATTTCCCATCTGCAATAAACACTTGACATGTGTCCAAAGCCCTCCCACCCAACAGGGGAATGTGTTTTCATGTTTTCAGGTAGGGAAACTTGGAGGGCAGAGTGCCAGCTACTAGGGGCTCTGGTCCAGAAGCAGGTACTATGTTCCGTAAGTGGTTGTCCTCCCACTACCTGAGGGCCTCTCCAAGGCCTGCCTCTGCTTCTGCCAACCAGGAGGGATCACCACCAGCTTCCCTGGGTCATGGGGCAGTGGCCTTCCTCCTGGAGAAGGGCTAGAAGGGACCCTTGGGGGGGCAGAGGAGCCAGACACACGGTGGGTACTCCTCTCTCTGGCATTGTACTGTCACTCCACGGGCAGCTAGCTGTGATCTGGGAACCCCATCCCCTCCCACAGGCCACCCCAGTGATTACTCGGGGTCATCATGTAGCCCAGGGCATGCGATGGAATCACCAGGGGCCAGCTTTCAGGGGCTCTGTGCTCGGAGGGTGTGTCTGAAAAGCATCAACTCATGCACCAGGCACATGGTAACTGTTTTGCTCAGAATCACGGACTTCCCATCCTGTGATGCTGTCAGAGGGATAACTGAAGTCCCTCTGCCCGTGGGCCCCCTCAGTGGCTGTGATCACAGCTGCTGGCACCAGGGCAGGAGAAACAGCTGCTCTTGGCTCTGAGAGGCCCACAGAATTTGTGTGTCCACTCTGGGTGCACGATGGGAAGGTAACCAAGAGACTTTGGCTCCCCTCTTCAAGTTGCTTCTTTCCTAAGAAATCTGAAAACACATCTCAATGGAGGAGAAGATGCTGGAGCTGTCCCCTACCACTGACACCCCCCTCCCATCAGGAGGCACTCACAGCCTCACCTCACCGGGGCAGGGGCTGAAGGTGGAGAGGAGGAGAGAGGAAGGGGCCTCATCTAGTCTGCCCTGCGATGGGCCGGGGGTGTCAGCAGACCTGGGTGCAGGTAAGAGCCCTGGAGCAACTCGCTACACCCTCGGTGACTCAGCTTCCTCACCTGTACAGTGACACTGCCTTGCTCCAGCTCTAAAATAAAATACAGCTCTCTGCCCGCCTCAGTTTCCCCCCAGAGAAAAGTATCTGCACCAGGGAGAAGGAGGGTGAATTCACAAGGTGAATTCAGGAAAAGTTCACCTCCAAGGGCAACAGATCCTATGCAGTCCATTTCTCCCGGGGACAGGAGTTGGGGAGGGAGCAAGGTTGAGATCCACGGGGTGGTGGTGGGGTTGACGCTGAGAGAAGGTGGACTCAGTTCCCCCAGCTCTTCTCCAGGGAGAGGAGGGCTGTTAATGGAGAAAGTCCATCTGCCTGTCCCCCGTCCCTCCCACAGCAGCCTGGGAACTTCCAATTGGCTTTCATCAAGGCTGGTACACGAGACTGAAGCCCAGAACTGGGCTGCCCCTTCCGGCCTTCCTCCCCTGGAAGCCAACTCTCATTCTCTCCCTGAGTCCACAAGCAGAACAGGGGCCCGTAGCTCCTCTACTTAGATGACTGTTTTTCATGAGTAGTTTTTCCCTGTCCTCATACAATTCTGATCCCTGCAGTGTTCACAGCCATGACACTCTGGAGCCTCCACAGAAGTTATATCTCCCTCCATTCTCAGGAATGAGGAAAGGGGGCACTGGGGGCGGGGGGTGTCCACCCCAGATTGGAACGGAGGCCTTCAGAGTAAGCTCAGCTCCTGGCCCTCCAGAGAGCGTCAGGGCAAGGCAGTGCCTGGGAGGCCAGCTCTGCAGGACCTGCTGAGTGACCTTGGTGAAGCCACAGCACCCCTGGGCCTCAGTTTCCCCAGGTCCATCATACAGATCCAAAGTTTCTCTCTCGAGGCCAAGGTGAGGATGAACGCAAGAACCTTTCTGTGAAAGCATATGAGAAAAGGTGCCGTATTTTGTCCCTGAGAGCCCAGAAGTCCCGCCCACTCAGCACAGAATGAGACCGACCCCCCCCCCCCCCCCCCCCCCCCCCCCCCCCCCCCCCCCGACCCAATGAATACGGTCGACCAAGCCACGGCCCTTCCTGGTAGGCGGCTCCTTCCACCCTGCCCTGGGTCCACGCTGGGGGAGAGCCGGCGAGGCCACGGAGTGTGGCGCAGTCTCCCCCGCCCCCATCCCTCCCAGTCCGAGGTCCCGGAAAGCGTAGAGCAAGCAGTCCTGCCCCACCCCCTCCCCTGTCCAGGACCCGGATTGTGCGCCCCTTCTTCCAGCCGGGAAGACCAGTTCCAGCTGATACCACCCGCTTGCTCACCACGTCTGCGCCCTCGGCGCCTCGGCGCCACGGCCCCAGCGCCAGGAAAGGTACGCAGGCCGCCGGGATGCGGTGACGGGCAACACGCTCCCTACCTGGGAGGAGACTGCCAGCCGGTCGTCCTCCTCGCGGGCCTAGTGAAGCCAGCCCCACCTGGCAAGGGACTGTCAGCAAATTCCCCGCTGCATCACCATGGGAGCGGCATCCCGGCCCCTCCCAGGCAGAAGCCAACCTTGGCCCCGCCCCAATGCTGCTTGACCCGCGAGGGAACCCAGGCTGGATTTTCATATGCAAAGGCCCAGGCTCCGCCTTAGAGACTTTGTAGCTACCAGGAACCATCAGCAAATTACCATCGCAAATATACAAGGCTGGCAGTCCCTTGCTGTAGACACTCCAGCACCCTCCGAAGCTTTGGGCCCTGGCAGGCGTCCTGCTGCTCTCTGCCCACCCTACAGCCTTCACCCCCACTTCAAGCTCTCCTTTGAGGCTAGTGCCCCTTTCAACCCACCCAACCCCGCCAGCCAAAGCGAGAAAAGACAACCGCACAAAGGTAACAGCGCTTAGCCCCGCCCAGGGACCAGCTCCTGGCACCGGCCCAGTGATTGGTTCCTTCTTCCCCAGCAAAGGGAACATCTACAAATTGACCACAGCCCTGTCCAGGAGGCCCAAGAGGGTGGGCTGGGTCATTTCCAGTTTGCCATGGGCCACAGTCCTGTAGGTCTCCAGTTTCTTCAAAGTCCTGGCTACTCTGCTGGAGACACTAGTTTTGACTCTGGGGGCGGGTGCCAGTGTTCGAACCCCCAAAGATCAGTATACAAACTAAGGGACAGTAGTAAACAGCCACTCTCCTCTCTCCCAGGAAGGGGCCTAAGCATGTTTATTTAATAGACTTTACGAGAGAGGCAGGTTGCTGACCAACCTTTGAAAGTGACTCTCTTTTAACAGTTATATAATGGTAAGATATTGACAGAGCTGTTAGCAATGTGCTAAGAAGGCCACAGAGTAATCAGTGTGAGTCTAAGGTCGTGAGACACTGACAGGAGGGTCAAAGGGTAGCTAGGCTTTCAGGGGTTGGCTCCCCATAAGCAGCAGCACCGCGCTCCCTCCAGGCTGGCGCACCCTGGTCATCTCTCTCCCTCCCCTGCACCTGCCCCCGCCCCCTCACCCCCTGGTTCTTCTGACCCAGCAGTGCCATGAAAACCCAAAGTGAGCCACTAGGCATTCTGCTGAGATCCGTCCATTTCTTCGCTCCCTCACCCATTCGTTTATTCATTCGTTCAAGGACTAGGAAGGCTTTTGGTTGTCTATCATGCAATGGCAACAGCGTATCAAGGGTCTGGGTTCTAGCCTGGGCTCAGCTGCTAGTGTGCTTTGCAATCTTGGATAACTTGCTGGATCTGTCTTTCTTTCTTTTTCCCTCTCATCTGTAATACTGAGAGGGCTGGGCTCGTTGGGGTTTAAGGCCCCTCTGGCCCTAACATTTCTATTCCTCTCTTCTAGGATAGAGTCTGGTGGGAACAAATATAACCCAGGTAAGTACAAAAGTCATGTTTAAGAACTCTAGCTGCCCAGATTCCAGGCCCAGCTGGGCCATCTAAATATGGGACTTAACCTCTCTGAGCTTCATTCTTTGCATATGCAAAATGGCGGGAATAATAATAACAACCTTAAAGGGTAGTTGTGAGGATTAAATGAGATATTGTATACAAAGTAGATGCTCAATAAATATTGTTGTTTTTGCTGTCGTTGTTATGGTACTGGTGGGAGAGAGTAAAACCTGGACAAAAGCAGCTTGTCCTCCTCTCTGCTTCCTCACTACAGAACTAGTGTCTGACTCCAGGGTGGGAGGATTAAGCGTCTTATGTATGAGGGTAATAGCCGTTCCTTTAGAAAGACCCTGTGTTAAGTGGAAAGAACATGGTCTTTGGATCCAGTTGAAACTTGGTTCAAGTCTGGGCTCTGGGCTTCCCTGGTGGCAGAGTGGTTGAGAGTCCGCCTGCCAATGCAGGGGACACGGGTTCGTGCCCCGGTCCGGGAAGATCCCACATGCTGTGGAGCGGCTGGGCCCATGAGCCGTGGCCGCTGAGCCTGCGCGTTCGGAGCGTGTGCTCCGCAACGGGAGAGGCCACAACAGTGAGAGGCCCGCATACCGCAAAAAAAAAAAAAAAAAATCTGGGCTCTGCCTCTTACTAGCTGGGTGACTTTGCACTAGTTACTTAGCCACTCTGAAATTAATTTTCACATCTATAAAACGGAGATGGAAATAAAAGGAGTCCAACAGTAGTACCTACCTCATAGAGTCACTGTGAATATAAAATGCATGTAAGTTACTTGGGTCAGTTTTTCACAAACAGAGACTGATCAATATTGATCTCTCCCTTCCAGGAAGGACCTTAGATAGAATGGAGGGGAGACCCTAGCGCTGAAATTTCTAGGCATCCTTGACTGAGTGTCCTGTGAGAAGACTGGGTAGTGGGTATTCTAGCTCAGACCCAGAGCTGGCATCAGCAGCTCTCCAGCCCCCTTTGGCCAGGTGCCATCCACACAGAACCTATGAACCAGCCTCCCTGGATGAGCCCGATCCCTGAACATGCCCTCTGCTGGGAGCTGAGGCCAGAATGGGAGGCTGAAAGCAGGTCCTGAAAGGCCTCACACGCGGGGCTCAGGAGTTTAGACTTTGCTCAGCAGGCAAAGGGAGCCATGGAAAGTTTTTGAACAGCAGCCACAGGATAAAGTTTTTGAGCCAACACCCAACCCACTCCAGTTCCTGGAGGCGAGACCTGATAGGCATCAAGGATGTACAATAAAGGGAGATACAGAAAAGGGGGGGGGAATCCATGGGAATACCAGGTGGGCTGCATGGTGGGACAATCAGAGAGATGGCCCTAACCAACTGAACATCAATGACCTAGACGAGTGTCAGGCTGGTAGAAGGTGCTTTGTCGAGACGTGAAGGTGTGTGGGAATGAATAGCTGAGGCTTTTGAGAATAGCTGTGGCCTTGAGAGGCTTTCAAAGAAAAGGTGCTTCTGGCCTGTGGGTGCTGAGAACATCTTTCATGTTCTCACTCATGTGATTAAGGTGGGAGATCTCTGAAAGATGACGAGTGTTGTCTTCGTGACTGCTTTCTTAACCTCCAGTGTCTTGTCCGGGATCGTAATCCAGGACAACAACAAAGACACAAAAGTCCTCTGAGCAATCCAAACGGAAGGAACTGCTGTCAAAATCAGACGCTTTTTCTGTAGGAGAGCACCTTGTGTCTTCAATGACAGCCCACCTGCGTTTATTCTACGCACGGTTTAAACAGATCCAGTGTGGCAGAGACCACTAAGTATCCGCTTATGTCCTTTTTTCCCCTCTTTTAGCAGTAGAGCTTCCAAGGTTAAAACTTGGCTACATGGCTACCCTACTAGAGACTACATATCCCAGCCTCCCTTGCAGGCAAGTGCAGCAATAGGACTAAGTTATAACCAATGGGATGGGAGTGGAAGTGATCTGTTTCATTTCTGGGCCACATTCTTAAAAGGAAGCTGCCTGCTCTCCAGTTCCTCTTTCCCCTTGTGCAGACTGGACCATGGACAGGGGGGTGGAGGCGGGGACAACTTTGATGATGCTGACAAGGACCTGACTTTGGCCAATCTACAAGACCTGAGTCTCATGATGACCTGGAGAAGAAGAGCCCTGAACTATTGACACCTTGGTCTATGACAGCAGCTGAACCCATAGCCTGATAAATCTAGTTTCCTGATTTTCAAGCCCACAGTAGACGGAAAAGAGCATATTGGAAGGAGAAAGAACTTACAAAAAGCAAGCACAGTGAAATTAGCAAAAGCCTAGAGCAAGAGGATATAGAACAACTTATATAAACAAGAGGATATAAAACAAACTCAGAGTTTGGGGTCATTTAGTTCAGGGCCAAGAAGCCTTGGGGGCGCCATTGTATTACAAGGTAATGTTGGAAATGCTCAGAATAACAATCTTGAATCATTAAGAGAAGGTTAATTCTGATGGAATATTTTATTTTAAAAGGAAAGCAATTATATGATATGTCTAGTGTGTCTGAAAATGGTTAACATAAAACTTGTATGCTTAAGGGTAGAAACCTTCAGCATCCATTCAAAATAATACCTTTCCTGATGGGTCAGAAAGTAGAGATTTTGACTCATTGATATATACCTTCTCCCACTAGATTATACATCCTTTTAAGATCAGATTGTATCTCCTTTTTCTTTTTATTCCTAGTGTCTAGCACAGTGCTAACTCAAATAAATATTTTTTAATAACTAAGGGGGTGAAATCTGTGTTACCTTAGATGCCAGAGCTTAGTAGGGTCCCACCAGCTGATGTGGAATATTGAGCAGTGAAATTGCCTGAGGTCCCAAAACACCCTGGTGGAGAGCTGCAGGGCCACAGCCCTCACAGCCAAGAGTGTTACGAGCCCGTGGTGACCCTACCCCTGTTGTCTAGAAATCATTTCATCAGAAACACTCCCCTGAGCTCACAAGACCAAGATGCACAGGATTTTCATTGCAGAACTGGTTGTAATTCCAAAAACAAACACAACTGTACACAGGCTACACAACGGTGCATGGCCTTTCTTCACTGTCCAGGGGAGATGTTCAGGAAAATTCAAAATAAGAGGGAAAAAAGCGGGAGGTCCAGGAAAGGGTCAGCTAGGTGTGCCCACTGCTTGTTTCACATCATTTCGATGGCTTCGAGGCAAGAGAGATACACTAGTATCTCATCCTAAAGCCCAGTGCTAGTCCCCTAGCTAAGTAGGGGGTAAGAAAGGGGGCGGCAGGTCTGGAGGGCCTGAGAGTCTGCAGATCTTGCTATAGGATCTAGAAATAAACGTGTGCCACTGACAGGGACAGTCTTTTTCAAGGCAGAACCACATCACTATTCACACTTTGTGACAATCCAGGTACTCTAGGGTATCCCCTATCCCCAGGAGGCCAATCAAAACTCTCCAAGAAGGTGGGTCTATTTTGGGAGCTCAGGCTTCTGTCACACACTCTAATCTGCCTTTCCAAACAGAAGGAAATTTGATTACCTGTTCAGAAAGAAGGCAAGCAATGTACTGGGATTGAATACTAT